AATTTCATTTTGCTGCATATGGATTTCCAGTTTTCCCAGCACTATTTGTTGAAGAGGCTATCTTTTCTCCAGTGTGTGTTTTTGGCACCTTTGTCTAGTATGAGATAACTGCATTTATGTGGGTTTGTCTCTGTGTCTTCTATTCTGTACCTTTGATCTAAATGTTTGTTTTGGTGTCAATACCATGCCATTTTTGTTACTTTGGCTTTGTAGTATAGTTTACGGTCTGTATTGAGATGCCTCCTGCTTCACTCTTTTTGCTGAGGTTTGCTTTGGCTGTTCTGGGTCTCTTATTTTTCCAAATGAATATCACAATTGCTTTTTCTATTTCTATAAGAAATGACATTGGGATTTTAATTGGAATTGCGTTGAATCTGTATAAGAGCTTTGGGTAGTATGGCCATTTTGAAAATATTAATTTTGCCTACCCAAGAGCATGGGAGATCTTTTCATCTTCTAAGTTCTTCTATTTCTTTCTTTAGTGTTCTGTGGTTTTCATTGCAGCGGTCTTTCAGATCATTTGTTAATTGATTCCCAAGATATATAAAGAACTCAAAAAACTCATCACCAAATAAACAAACAACCCAATCAATAAATGGGCTACGTTGTGTACAACCAGACACTTTTCAGAAGAAGATATCCAATCGATCAACAAATACATGAAGGAATGTTCAACAGTTCTAGCAATTAGAGAAATGCAAATCAAAACTACTCTAAGATTTCATCTTACTCCAGTCAGAACGGTAGCTATTAAGAATACAAACAACAATAAGTGTTGGCGAGGATGTGGAGGAAAAGGCACATTCATACATTGCTGGTGGTGCAAATTGGTGTAACCAATATGGAAAGCAATATGGAGATTCCTTGGAAAACTTGGAATGGAACCACCATTTGATCCAGCTATCCCACTCCTAGGTTTATACCCCAAAGACTTAAAAACAGCATACTACAGGGACACAGCCACTTCAATGTTTATAGCAGCACAATTCAAAATAGCTAAATTGTGGAACCAACCTAGATGCCCTTCAGTAGATGAACAGATAAAGAAACTGTGAGATAGATTATATATACATACACACACACACACACACACACACACACACACATGATGGAATATTACTCAGCATTAAAAGAGAATAAATTATGGCATTTTCAGGTAAATAGATGGAGTTGGAGAATATCATGCCATGTGAAGTAAGCCAATCCCCAAAAAACAAAGGATGAATTCTCTCTGCTATGTGGATGCTGATTCATAATGGGGGTGGGGGTCATGGGAAAAAAGGAGGAACTTTGGGCAAGGGGAGGGATGAGTGGGGAGGGCATGGGGGCAGGAAAGGTGGTGGAATGAGATAAACATTATTACCCTAGGTACATGTATGAGACTGCACATATGGTGCAACTCTACATGGTGTACAACCAGAGAAATGAAAATTTGTGCTCCATTTGTATACAATGAATCAAAAAGCTTTCTGCTGTTACATATAGCTGATTGGGACTAAAAAAAAAATATATGAGCTATTTCTTTCTCCCCAGGATACAAATACCTCATAAATAGTTATATTTACTGGTTTGGAGAAGATCAGAGAGAAGTTATCTGTATACTTGTTACGTTATTGCAGTGTCCTTTCTAAGTGGTATTGGCTTTTCCTTTACTTTTATGTAAGAGGCTCTAAGACTGTGAAGTGACCTAGGCATAGGAATTGGGTGAGAGGCAGTGTTCTGGCATGGAAATTAGGGCATCTGGTCTCTAAACTTAATTATTATTATTTTTTTAATGTTACATGTGCAGATCAAGTTTGAACTTCGTAGGCTGCCCCTCTGATTTTGGTCTTTCGTGATTGGTCACCACTTAAGATCCATGCTAATGCAACCATTCCGATCATTACTCTGGCTGTGCCTATTGCTCTAGGGGTTCCAAGTATCATCAAGTCTTTACCACCCTGGGTTCTAATCCCTGTTGAAATCAACAGGAGGCCCTCCAAACTTTTCCCCACCTTACACAGGACATTTACTGTGGCCCTCTTCAAGTGTGCAGTGTCTCCTCCATGCAATGTGTTTATCAAAGCCAAAGTGAAGAAGCATTCTCTAGGCTCTGTCAGGAGGCAGAGTCAGGGGCGGGTGAGCAGGTTGCAAATGATAAATTAACAACAGCCTTTGCCTTCTAAGATGTTGGATTCTTTCCTCCACATTACACTAAGGAATTTCTGGTATCTTGACTTTGTTTAGTTTTGGCCACATTTGAGTCCATGTTTTAGTCAAGCAATTGAGCGGATAATTTAGAACCGTCCCCAGCTGCTTGAGTTAGTGCTTTGAATCAAAACTATCTGGTGAGTATCTAAATTCAGCCCGATTTAAATCATGACCCCATTTCTCTCTGGCTTAGCACTCTTAAAATCTCTTTCACCACTTGATCCCAAGGTTTTCCCTCTATAAATTAACAATATCTTGCAGTTCTTTTTGTAAGATTATCTATATGTCTGGAGACAGTGAGTAATGGAAACATGCAGTCATCATAGTGTCTTAAGCAAAGTAGCTTTAGTGTTATCGGATAGGACAGGGATACCTCTGCTGGTATAGACACTCAGTAGTAGATTTGCAGGGTTCTGTTAGCTGAGTTATCCCAAATTTGAAGTCCCTATTTAAATTCTTGGGTCTAGTTCCGTCATAATCTTTAGCTCTTGGCGATGATGAAGTACATTTTCATTGTTGCATTAAACAACAGATGCAGTTCCTATTGCTGCGTAGCAAGCCTGCTAGAAATGTAGCGGCTTAAAACAACAGCAGTCATTGTTTCTCTCTTGTGGTTTCTGTGATCAGGAATTCAGGTTTGCAATCATATGGTGGCTGGTGTGAGGACCACAGGGGGTGGGACACTTGGGGACTGGCTGGGCAATTTTGTCTCCTCATCCGGATCTCAAGACCTGTCTCCATGTGATTTTTCCTCATGAATTAGCTTGTTTCTTTAAAGTATGGTGACCTCAGCACAGTAGGACTACTCATATGAATCACTCAGCTTTAAAAGCCACACTGTGTCACTTTCATCACAAGCCCACCTAGAACAATCACTCAATAATAATGAAATGGGGGTATAGCTTGAAGCTAGTAGAAGTCTAAACAGAAGACTAAAACATTCAGTTAACCCAATCAAATTCCTTTCACATAGAACTAACGAATCTGAATTCATCCTACATTACACTTAAGCAATTAAGCAATTCTGCAGGAGTAGTATCTACCTATGTTTGATTTTGGTGTGTCATCTTATTAGCTATAAGGTAAAGTAAGTTCTTTGAGGTTATCATAGAAATTCCCTGTTTCTCTAACCTTGAAGAATTAAAACACTGAGGGTCATTTTTTTCCTTTGAGCTGTCCTGTGAATTTGGAAGCAGACAGCCTACCTCACAGTTATTTTATTCCCTCCTGGTGTCCCATCACTTGGTACAAAAAAATAAATTGTATTGGGTAGATGTGTTATGATAACTCAAGAATTCTTTTGTGACTGAATACCAAGGACTCTCCGTGTTGTCCCCCTTCATGATCACTGCATACTTGCTATGTTCCAGCCCAGTTGGATCAGATATCACTTACAAATTTCCATTTTTCTCCAGGGGTACTTTGCCTGCAGTCACTTTTATGCCCTGTTACTGTAATGGTCATTATTTAATTGTATATCATAAAATCCACTGTAACTCGCTAAAGTGGAAAGAAATAACATTAAGTGAATTTGCCTTCAGAATTTCTGGGGTAGTATGTACACCAAGTTTTAGTGCCATGTCCTCCAGAGACATTGCCTCATCCTGTTGTACATAATTTTGGTTAAATGCATCTGTTTATGGGTGACCTTACTGGAGTTATGGTTAGATATATTAACTATTGCATTATTTGTGGATAGAGGAATTATGTGCGTTATATTCTAAAACCTCGTGTTTGTTTTAGCTATTTGGGACTTAGAATTATTTTCCCTTAGAAACTATTTTATAACTTCTGATTCCATTTTCCTACTAGGCAGGGAAGCCTACATTATCCACACTGTGTCACAGATGCAGAAGAGCCAGCATCCAAAGACACTTCAGAAGCACATCCCTGCTTTAAAAGATTTCTCAAAAATTAGACAGCTTAAGAATTATGGATATGTCCAACCTAGAGGAAATCTAATCTATTGACTTTTAGATTACTCAAGGATGGCTTTCCTTGGTCTCTGTACCCACTTGGCAGTCTTAGCATCTTTGGTGCTACTACTACTATTTGTGTGAAGGTATTATTCATGTGTGAAGATGCATAGTAGCGTTACTCCCATGTTTCTTGCTGTCTGTTGAAATTTATCAGAAATAGCGTTGCAGACATGGATGTGGGAAGTGGAGGACTAGTGGCAATGAGCATAGAATTAGCTTGAGTGATGAGGTGGCTCTGAATTGTGGACATATGGGAATAGAGCTCAAGCCTGTGCAGTGTATGGAGGATGACTTTTAACGTCTAAAGTGAATGGACTGTCTGGAATTAGATAGCTCCTGTGAGGTGAGATGTGGTAGGTTTTTAGCAATTCCTATTGAATTGTACCCTGTGCCTTTTGTAAATTCTCAGCAATCCCAGTCTTACCAAGCACAACATTTTAAAAAGAACACTCTTTTTATTGCTACTGGGTAGAGGTAAATTAAAGGCACTACTCTAATAAATCATCACAGTGGTGGTACTATAGAAAGGAAAAAGGGCTCATTAGGCTCATCTGATACCATGAAGTGTCTTGGTGTCTTTCTTTGGGATTTCAGAAGGTCAGGAAATCAGGACTCACCTGTTTCTTCTTGTTCCTCTTTTACCTATATACCATATCGGTATATTTTCCCATCAGGCCTCTCTTATGCAGCCTGTGTCCTACCTAGATGCCTGGAATAAGCAAGTAATCTCAAATGTCAAAAATAAAATTTTGGATCATATGGAATAAAGGATGTATATAGGCTAAAAATAGTTACAATGAAGCACTTTCATTATTTCTGTTGTTGTTTCAGGCAGAAGAAATCCTCAGGCAAGAGCTGGAGAAAAAAGAAACACCAAGTTTATATTGCTTGCTTGGAGATGTCCTTCGAGACCACTCCTGCTATGACAAGGCCTGGGAATTGTCCCGGCACCGCAGTGCTCGGGCCCAGCGCTCCAAAGCCCTCCTTCATCTTCGGAACAAGGAGTTTCAAGAATGTGTGGAGTGCTTTGAACGCTCAGTGAAGATTAATCCCATGCAGGTGAGAACCCCAGGTGCACTGTCCTCCTGAGTGAGTACCTGTTTCTGCCCTAATGACTGGTGAGTGTCACCTGGAGACCTAAGGACTTAGGCTCTAATCTACTTTTTTCTTGCCACCAATGGTGGACAGTGGTTTTTCTCTTATTTCTGTCACTTTAGCTTTATATGTTTTAGTTGTTGATAGACCTTTATTTTATTTATTTATATGTGGTGCTGAGAATTGAACCCAGTGCCTCACACATGCCAGGCAAGTTCTCTACCACTGAACTACAATGCTGCTGTCATTTTAGCTTGGTGTTTCTTTCTCTTATCTGTCTTTTAACTCTAATGCAGCTATTAAAAGCACACCATTTTGAGCAGCTATGCAAGGAAGAAAATGAGACTCAGAACTGTCAGACTTCACAAGCAATTACTGAAGTCAGTAATATAAGTAGGCCAACATATAGAATGAATTGATGATAATTTAAAGGGATAAAGTGTATATGTAAATAAATATGAATGCTTCTCCTTCTTAAAGTTTGAAAAGCTAATACAAAAAGGGTCTGGATCTTTAACGTAAGTGACAGGATAAGTTCATAGGAGAGGACCTGATTTTGAGGGGAACAAGATTAACCTTATTTCATACTTAATAATATTCAGTTAGTAAAAATGATTTTATTATCAGAAAGTCATTTTCTTCTACCAAACTATTTGTAGCTGCTTTGTCACTTTATCACTGCACATGCAACTGTCAATCAAGGATCGTGGCAAGCATGCGCATTAACTTGGTATTATTCTAGTTAAATTATTTAGTTATAATTAGCTACAAATTATTACTGAGTACTTACTATGAGCCGAGTACCTCTTTTGGCATTCTGCCAGTGTTTAAATCCAGAGATTTTGACTTCAATACTGACACTTTTCTTTTATTATAGTAAAATAGCATATAATTTACCATCTTAGTGTCTTCCAGATATACAGTTCAGTGGTGTTGAGTATATTCATATCGTTGGACAACCAGTTTCCAGAATCTTTTTTAAAAAAATTTGTTCTTTGTAGTTATACATGACAGTAGAATGTATTTTGACATATCATATGTACATGGAGTATAACTTCCCATTTTTGTGGTTGTACATGATGTGGAGTTACATTGGATGTGTATTCATATATGAACATAGGAAAGTTATGTCTGATTCATTCAACTGCCTTTCCCACCCCACCTTCTTTCCTTGCCACTTCCCCCTGTCCAATCTGGTGAACCTCTATACTCCCACCCCCACCAATTGTGAGTGAGCAACTGCATATCAGAGAGAACATTTGTCTTCTCTTTTTGCAGGGATTGGCTTATTTCACTTAATATGATTGTCTTCAGTTCTGTCCATTTACTGGCAAATGCCATAATATCATTCTTCTTTGTGGCTGAGTAATATTCCATTGTGCATATGGAATGCACCACATTTTCTTTATCCATTCATCTGTTGAAGGACACCTAAGTCAGTTGGTTCCATTGTGTAGCTATTGTGAATTGAGCTGCTATAAACATTGATGTAGACACATCACTTATAGTATGCTGATTTTAAATCCTTTGGGTATAAACTTAGGAGTGGGATAACTGGATCAAATGGTGGTTCCATTCCAAATTTTCTGAGGAATCTCCATACTGCTTTCCAGAGTGGTTGCACCAATTTGCAGTCCCACCAGCAATGTGTAAGTGTATCTTTCCCTCCCATATTCTTGCAACATTTATTGTTATTTGTATTCTTGATAATTGCCATTCTGACTGGTGTGAGGTAGAATCCCAGTGTAGTTATAATTTGCATTTCTCTAATTGCTAGTGATTTGAACATTTTTTCATATATTTGTTAACTGATTGTATTTCTTCTGTGAAGTGTCTGTTCAGTTCCTTTGCCTATTTATTGATTGGGTTATTTGTTGTTTTGATGTTAAGTTTTCTGAGTTCTTCATATCCGTCCAGAACCTTTTCATCTTTTAATAAAAATTGAAATTCCATATTCCTTTAACAATAACTTCCCACTTTCTTTCCTCCAGCATGGAAAACCACCATTTACTTTTGATTTTATGAATTTAACAACATTATATACCTCATAAGTGCAGAACTGCAGTAGTTGTCCTTCTGTGACTAGTTGATTTACCTTAGCACAACATCCTGGAGACTTATCCAGGTTGCAGCATGTGTCAGAGTCTCTCCTTCTGTAATGCTTCATACTATTCCCTTCTGTGTATGTATTGTATTTTGTTATCAGTTTACTTAGTAGACATGTGGCTTCCACCTTTTGGTTCTTATAGTGCTGCTATGAACATGAGTGTGCAGAAATGGTCATTTTTAGGGCTGGGGATGTGGCTCAAGCGGTAGCACGCTTGCCTGGCATGCGTGCAGCCCGGGTTCGATCCTCAGCACCACATACAAACAAAGATGTTGTGTCCGCCGAGAACTAAAAAATAAAAGAAAAAAAAAAAAGAAATGGTCATTTTTAAACAGGGTAGACTCAGGACATGTCTTTTGCATTGAAAAAAATCATAAGTGCCTTTTTGTATATGTGATGCTGGGGATGGACCCTCGACCTTGAGCTTGTGAGGCAAGCACTTTACCACTGAGCTATATCCCCAGCCCCAGCAGTGCATTTTTTATGGTAGATTGATGGGATTGCTTACTTTCCTCACTCCAAGTAGTGAATACATTCAGAAACTTCCAAATCAGGCGGCTAGTAAAATACAGGAGAAGAAAGTAGGATTGATGTAAATACCGGATAGCAGCAGCTATTAGTGGGTGGTTTTGGCAGCAGGGATGCTTACAGCATACTTAGGATCTAGTTTTTGTTGACAACTGGGGATGATTTTGTTCTCCACCCTGCAAAAGGCATTTGACAACTTCTGGGGACATTTTTGGTTTTCACAGTAAGGGAGTATGGGTGTGTGCTTCTTACTGGCTTCTAGTAGGTGGAGACTGGGGATACTATGCTCATAATGCACAGCCCCCCAGAGCAAAGAATTATCTGGCTTATGTCTGTAGTGTCATGGTTGAGAAACTCTGCTCTAACTTGATTACCACATTATTATTATTATTTTGTAGAAAATAGAACTAACTCAAATCAGTATTATTAAAAGCTTATTTTTCCAGGGTTAGGGATGTAGCTTAGTGGTAGAGTGCTTACCTAACAGATCCAAGGTCCTGCTGGGTTCAATCCCCAGCACTGAAATATTTTTTCTTTTCTTTCCTTTTTTTTTTTTAAACTTTTTCAGAAAATTATTCTGCTAATCTTACTAGCCTCTCTCCAGAGTGTAGCTAATCACAGGTTCTGTGTGAGTGAAGAAAATGAATTCCCTCCTTGGCCTGCTGTAGTTTCAGTTCCATCAGTGGCAGGCACCTCTCAGATGAATTGTTCTCTCAAGCGCTCATCTAGTCCCATAGCTTTAAATACCATCTGTAAGTGACAACTTCCTGGAAGCTCTTCAAATTTTATTTTCAGTCCTGTCTTCTCCCCTGAACTCTAGATTCCTATATCTGCTCCCTTAATCTCCCCACTCATTACTCTAACTCAGCATTTCCAATATCTGAAACATTTCCCCCTCCTAAAACCTGTTCCTCCCAAGCTTATCCCCATTCCTGTGAACAGCAGCCTCATTCAGCCGTGAAGTCATCCTTGATTCTTTTTTCCCCCGTGCCCCATATGCAATCCATCAGCAAATCCTAGTGCATCGACCTTGAAAATATGCCCAGACTTCTTTTTAGCCCCTGCCAGTGCCCTGGCCCACATCCCTGCTGGCTCACCTGGTTAATTCATAACTTCCTTTACTGGTCTTCCTGCCTTTTTCCTTGTCCTCATTTGTCTGTTTTTAGTGAACATCCAAGGTAATCCTTTCAAACTCAGGTCAGATGTGTCACCTCTTTGCTCTGTGGCACTGGCGATGGAAGCCCAACTCCTTTAAAATCTCTCAAGGCTTTTCCAGTAAAGTTTCTGTTCTTTTTTCCTCCTCTTTCTTCCTGTTCCTCCCCTTTTTATTCATGTTCTTCTTTGTTCTCTGAATAGACCAGATATACTCCTGCCTCAGAGTTAGCACCTGCTCTCCCTCTGCCTAGAACAATGTTCTACCTTGTTCCTTCATCTCATGTAAGTCATTGCTCATGTTACTTTCTTAGGCCTTCTGTGCTCATTCTATTTAAAATCACAATCCTACTTTAGAGTCCTGATTTTCTTTCCCCACTTTCTTTTTCTTTGTAGCTCTTAGTACCTTCCAATATCATATATGGCTTACATTTTTTAAAATAAAAATTACTCTTTTTCTTCAACTAGAATGTAAGTTCCACAAAAGCAAGGATTTTCACATGTATGGTTCATTTCTATTTTCCTGGTGCCTGTAACAGTGCCTGGCACATACATGGTAGTTAATAAGTATTTGTTGAATGGGTGAACAAATAACATCTTTAACTGCTCAGTCAAATATATACTCATCGTTGTATGTATAATACTGAACCAAAGGATGAAGAAGTAACAGCATGTCACTGCATAGTCCAGTTTGTACCCTCAGGTACAATATAGTGAAACAAACAGAGACCAGACTAACACTATGACATGTCAAAGAATACCCATTGGATTATTTGTAAAGCACTTAAATTATAGAAAGGCCAAGGAAAACATTTGTACCTTTCATAGACAGTGAAGTGAAGATGCTGAATTTGGCTTTGAAAGACAAGTAGTAGTTGAACAGGTAAAGGAAGGTCAGTGGAGAGAACATATCAGGCAAGGGAATCCTGCAACCAAACTGTGTGTGCATGCACATGCGTGTGAGGGAGCAGAGTTGTTAGTGGGTAGGCTGAATTTTCAGAGTGAGAGGAAATAGGGCAGTGACAAAGGGAATGCTAGACTGGATTCATTTTATGACAGGGCTTAAATATGAGGCTAAATTGACCTTTTCTTTGACAGTTAGGGAGCCACTGAAGGGTAAATTTGTTTGGGGCCTTATTTTAAATGAAGGGATGGGGCATGCAAGGAAGCAACTCGG